CTGTTCCCTTTACCTGAATCTTTGGCTTTTGCAGTATTAACGCTATTGACCCAAAAACCAAGAAGATTCTGCAGCTCTTGCGTTTGAGACAAGTAAGGCTGAAGTCTCCTAATTCCATCTAGTCTCAGACTTCTTATGATTATCGATAGATATATCTGTTACATGTTTTAAGTGGCATGTGATCATCTTTCAAACTTGTGGTGCACATTTGTGCAGATCTTCAATGGTGTGTTCCTTAAGGTGAACAAGGCAACAATCAACATGTTGCGTCGTGTTGAACCTTACGTGACTTACGGGTATCTCATCTTATTCTCTGCCTCACTGCCCAATCTAGAAGTATATAGAATATGCTCTAAGTGAAATGATATCTCTGGTGCAGGTACCCAAACTTGAAGAGTGTCAAGGAGCTAATCTACAAGAGGGGTTTTGGAAAGCTTAACCATCAGAGGATTGCACTCACTGACAACTCCATAGTGAATGAAGCTCTAGGAAAGCACAACATCATCTGTGTGGAGGATCTGATCCACGAGATCATGACCGTTGGACCTCACTTCAAAGAAGCCAACAACTTCCTTTGGCCATTCCAGTTGAAGGCACCACTCGGTGGCCTCAAGAAGAAGAGGAACCACTACGTTGAAGGTGGTGATGCTGGAAACAGAGAGAACTTCATCAACGAGCTTGTCAGGAGAATGAATTGATCATAAAGCTTCCTTCTATCATCTTTCCCCATTTCATAGTTTTTTGTTTGGATCTGAGTTGTTTTGTTTTGACCGTGTTATCTTAGTCGAATATAGGCTTTGATTAATAAACTTTTGTTTTATTTTCCAAAATCTTAGTTAATGACATATTTGAGTTCTTATTGAGGCTACTTCCCTGAAAGGTTTACGGTTAAGCACGTCCTACCACATATGAGCCGCTTTAAATTTACTTCGCCCAAGATTACTTACGAGTCTCCAGAAACCACTGAGAAAAATGATTGTAAGAGGATTCTTATATAAGCCAATCCAAACAGAAAACACGAGATCCAACATTTTAGTTTTTAAGAAAGAAACAGACACTGTTACAACCAGGAACATGACGAGTACATTTGTGTTTAAACAGACAACATTAAGGGGAAACAAGTGAGAACGTTTGGGATGGGATAAAGACAACCAGTACATCAGTTGTTTGACTAGAGAGGAAGAATTCCCCATCATTCCTCTGCAGCACTAGCTGCATTAAGGTCTACACTTAGATCCAGTTCCTGCAACACAAGAAGTGTATCACTTTCAACTCGCAGAAGATGTTGGGTTAGCAAAAAAAATACAAATCTTTGTAAGAATCTGAAGTATTACCTTGCCGGTGATCAGTTTATACATGTTCAGCACATCAACAACAGTTGTATCAAAGTGTGTTGTAGCATCATAACTCTGTTTAAGACAACGAATAAAAAGTTATTACGACCAACTTTAAGATGCTCACAAATAAAGGCTTTTAAGCAAGTATACCGTTGATATGAAACAGTTGTCCAAAGTGGGTTCATTGACAGGCTCGTATCTATCATATATGTCGAAAAACAGCTCATCAACTGGGCCAAGAAGATCGATTCCAGGCTTCAACTCGGTTTGAGGGTTATCAGTCTCTGCGTCTGTGGACACAAATGCTATGAATTTTCCCTTGGGAGCAACGTTGTGGGAATACGAACAACAGAAGACATACCTGTCAATATACAACGAAGACGTTATCATGAGCCAAGAAACAAACATATCAATCGAACTTCAAGCGTGAATCAAGTGATAAGGTATCTCAGAAAGCTCATGAGCATAATCAGAGGTAGCTTAGCTACTACAGCGAATAATATAAGGACCTGACGTTTTAATTCGTTTCTGCCATTAAGACTAATCATTCAGACAAACCTTAGCTATCACATGGAATAATATAAGGACCTAACGTTTCAATTTCTTTCAGTCATTAAGACTCATTTACTTCCATCAGCGAAACAACATGACGATTAAGAGAACTCACATGTCTGACTTGCGGCCTAATTGCTTTTGAGGTAGGATGACTTGCACCGACTGAGAATCATTGGTGTTTGGAATAGGGTGGCTCATAATGGCAATCGCCCTGGCAACCCTGCCAATCTTCCTCACCTGTTTGGATAGGAAGTTAAACCACAGAGAAACTACATATGCATTTAAAAACCAAGCAAAATGAAGTATAGCGTCCTGCTCCACTGAGAAGAATCAAACAAGCTAAATGTTGTGATTGTCAGTCATTACCTTGTTGGGCAGGTAGGAAGGATCGCAGACAACTTTCTTGCATTTAGCAGTCTCTCCCTCAGATGTGACACCGATAACCTTACCTTCCTCATCGAACTCTACCTGTAATTACAGCAACAGTTGAAGGCGTCACACATTTTCCTTCTGTAAGTAGCAGAATTATCAAAACAGAGAGATGCAAAGATGAGGAAGTAAGAGATATACCTTGCACTCAGGTTTATTCAACATGTAAGTCCCACCATAGACAGCACTAAGTCGTGCAAATGCCTGAAACAAGTAATCGAAGAAAGAAGTTCAAAGATAATCCAGAACCTATAGCCCAAAACATCAAAATAGTTGAACCAAGCATGTGTTAATGTATTAGAAGACAAACCTGAGGCAATTCTCCCAAACCATAGAGAGGATAGATATATGGAGAACCTCCTTGGAAACGTGCAAGGGACTCTGCGTAGAGCTGATAAGAAATTCAAAGCAATACTGTAAGAAACAAGACTTCTATAACAATGATGTCTAAACTTAAAGTCCCACGAGATCAGTTTACCTTCATTCTCATTACAGTATCATAAGCAGGTTGATGGAGATGGCTATCATTACTGTGAAGTGCCACAGCATGACCAATAAAGTCAATAGTGTTTTCATCAAGACCAAATTTCCTGCCAAAAATATTATAGAACTGTTAGTCACAGATAGTCTAAATTAGATACTGACAACAGAACATCAAGCTTACGCAATCAACTCCTTTGTTGTGACTCTCTTCAAATCCACACCATCATGCGTTTTAGGGTCCTTCTCATCGTATTCCTGAACATAGCTGAAGAACTTCCCAGCACGACGTTTCTCAAAAATACCCATAAGAGAAGATTTGAGAGCTTCCACTGGAGTAGCTGGCACTTTTTGAACCTGCAGAAAAACAACAGTTAAAAATGAATTCAAACTGTAAAACCCTGCGGCTAGCAAGAAGCACTGTGGGTGGAAAAAGCTTGTTACCTTGCCTTTGACGAAGACATAGCTCCCATCAACAGCTTTAAAAGACAAGTACTTGGTCACATCAGTATGAATAAGTACACGAACAAGCTTGCCATTTGCCATCATAAACTAGTCCACCACCAGATCGAAAGATAAACACTTTTAGCAACTAGCATTAGTACAATAAAGCTAGAAAAAAGAACTTAGACTAATATCAAACCTTAGGCATCATGTCAACATTGTAGTCTCTGCTAGAACCTAAATGAGCAGGAGCTTTATCTTCTCCCCTAAACTTCTTCCACAGCTGCAAAACAAAACCAACATCATTAACCACAAAAAGATTTAATCTTTTTAACAATAAAGATGAGAGAGAGAGAGAGAGTGTTTGACCTGATTGAGATTAAGTGAAGTTGACTCTCCACCGTAGTAGTCATTCCTGTCCATGTGAAGTACCTATATATCCACAAAGATCACATCTTTAGCTAAGTGAAGACTAAAGATCAGCTAATCCATAGCTTAAAGATCAGAAATTTCAACTTAAAGATACAGATCAAGCTAATAGTAATCAGTGAGATCCGTTCAGACCTTAAGACCATCGACGGAGAGGAGACCACTGAGGATACACTCCTTGAGACCAGTACCGAGAACTATAGCGTCGTACTCTTCATCCATGGCTTGATTGATCGCTAAAGAGAGGGACTTTTTTTTGGTAGAAGGCGACCGTCTAGACTCTAGAGAGATCGGTGGTGATGAATGATGATGACTGTCTATTTATTCAAAATTTTAAGTAAAAAAGGAAAATAAATATACAGAGAGATGCTTTGCTTTGTTCAATGGAGAGAGCTCTCTTTTTATTTTATTTCTTGTCAGCTCATTTTATTAAATGGTCCAAAGACCAACAAAGCACAAACATAAAACAAAGAAGGCCCAAACGAATTATTGAAAATTATTATGATTATAGTTTTCGAGATATTTCTTATTTATATGGTATTGAATTGTGTTATGTTTACAACTAGAACTTAGTTGTATTTTTCTTCATCTTTTATAATCTTTTTAAATATGGATTATGAAATGTTGAACTATAGTTTGTTAATAGTTAATATTGTGTTTGGTAAAAAGTAATGTGGATTGAATTTTAGGTAATTCTCTCGAATAGATTTTTTAAAGTTCTTATCACAAAAATAAATTTCAAAAATTAAAATGATCAAAATAACATTTTTTATTTTAAAAATTTTAAATCCTATCCCCAAAACTTTTACTTCTCAACTTTAAACAAAAAAGTTTATGATTAGTTAAACTAAACAATATAAATATATGTTTATTTATTTTTTTATAAAATATTTAAATATATTTTGATCATTTTTATTTTTAACCTTTATATTTGTGATAAAAAATTTTTTTGTCTATCATAGGAAATTTCTCTTTGAACTTTTGCAATAAAATATTTGTCAATTGGTAAAAAATTACGTCACTGTCCAATAGCTGATCTCAATCTCTAATAATTCAATCTGCATTTTTCTAACCCAATTTGATTAATCAAAAAAGACAAGTTTGCTTAAGGGAGGCAACCATAAATTTTAAAATATAGAAAACGTCATCTATTTTTATAAACAAAATAATTCCCCAAACAAAATATCTTCTCCTCGTTCCAAAAACATTTGTTACTACAGATCTGAGGGGTGGCAAAAACAAAAATATTTATGGTCACAATAAATAAAAAAGATTCTCATACATATAAATCAAAGACAAAAAAAAAAAAAAAAGGAAGTCAGAACTCGAGGGCAGGCACAAGGGTTCCTCTCGTCCTCTCAATGAAAATCTCCTCCAGGTTCCTTTCATCTCCTCCTTCCTCATCATCATGTTGATTCCACGATTTGCAAATGTTTTAAAAAGTTTATTCCTTTTCGTGAAATGCTGTAAATATTCTTCTCCTTTTTTTCGTCTTAGGGTTTGTTATTGATTCCTCCGATGCAATTTTCCGGGTCGTTGATTAATCCATGATGCAATTTTCCGGGTCGGGCATGTGGATCAGTGCTGGGTTTTGTTTCTAAAGGCGTAAAGTTTTGAGCTTTACGGAAAAAGTTCTGACCTTTCTTGTTCTCGTGATTCGATAGCTCTTTGGATCAAATATAGAGTGGATACAAAGTTTGAGACTTTTTGTTTTGTTTCACCGTTTTGGTAAGAGAGGTTTGCTTAAGGAAGGGATATGGTATAGAGCTTTGTTATTTGCAAGGATTTTGCTTTCAGTGTCTGATTAACTTTTGGGGAAAACAGTTTTAAATTTTGAAGATGGAGAAGGAGAGTGTGAGTGATGATGGATTATACCCTAATGAGCCTTTTGGTTCCGAGTTGGAAACTGAGGAGATCACTGCTCAGTCTTTAAATGAAGACTTTACGGTTGAGAAAGGTGAAGGGAGTGGTGTGGTTTTCGCCAGAGAGGCACCTCTTAGAGGTAATGACCAAGCTACAGCTCCACCAGGGAAAGGCTTTGGTTGTAGTGCGAAGAAACTGAAATGCAGTGGTGGTGATGTTGAGGTTCTCGAGAGTCTAGGGAAAGAGAAGAAGCTTAGTAGACAGGATAGGATCGAACTGGGACGACTTTTTCAAAGTGCTACTAGCTCACAGGATTGGGAACTTTCTGAGAGGATGATTGATTTGGCTGATCTGCAAACTTTGAATGATTTGTTGTGTATTAGTCTAGATTCTATTTGGTTCTTGAGCACTGAGGGGGAGTTGAGGGGTATCACTGGATTGATTGCAAAGATCATATGTCATGGTGCTCATGACTATACTAGAGCTACACTCAGGACTTCGTTTCTTGCTTCATGTGTCTCTTCTTGCCGTAACCGGACAGTGAGTCTTTCTGATAGTGTAACTGTAATGGCTCAAAGGTACGCATCTTGGTTCTCTCATAGATGTTTTCCCAGTTTCTTAATTTTTGTTAGATCTTATACATATGTCTTATGTTCATAGTCCACCTAGTTTATGTTGGGTTAACTGGGAAGGGTGGTGAGACACCCTTCCTTTTATAAATCCTTTTTCTTTTGCATCTCGGCGTATCCAGGTTGCACGAGCGTCTTCAAGAGTGTAACGGTGATGAGGTTCTTAAAGCAGAAGCCAGTGCCAAAGTTCAGAAGTTTACTGAATGGGCTCTCAAATGCATAGGTTTCCACTCTCGATGCCAGGGTCCTAGAGAAAAGTCTAACCAAGACTCTGCTGCTGAGATCCAACTCCAGCTCTCTGCTTTCAAGACGTTCTTAGATCTTGCAGGAAACCATTTGACAGGAAAGGATTTCACAGAAGCCTTTGATGCAGCTTGCTTCCCGCTTACTCTGTTCTCTACCTCTTTTAATCCTGGCTGGGCTTCTGGAATATCAGCTACTGTTATACATGGGTTGCTCGGTATGCTGGTGGAAGGAGGAGCAGATAACGTGAATCAGTGCTTTCTTGAAGCTTCTCGTTTTGGTAGCACAGAGCTTGTACGCATCTTGTTGCAGGTAACTAACTCTCTCTTCCCAATGATTACTTGTAAGTGTCTTCGTGTACTCTTAACTTTAACTCTCTTTCTGGTGTAGATTGCTCAGAGGAATAGCTTAGACGTGGATGTTGACTTAGCACTTGGTTTTGCTTCCCATTATAGTAAGATTGAAACGATGGACTGCCTTGTGGAAGAAGGTCACGCAATGGCTTTCTTGGGTCCATTGATGAGAGCAGCAGAGAGAGGTTGCATGCAAGTTGTTGAATGGTTTGTGAAAAGAGGCTGTCGTGAAATGGAGCTATGCTTAGCTCTCACAGCCGCCACTTCGAGTAGCCAGGTCGAGATCGCAGCTTATCTTCTTCCTCATGTACCAAGACCCGTCCTCACTGCTCTCAGCATCGAAATCCTCAAAGCAGCTGGCGAAAGAAGCGATGGTTCTCTCTATGGAGTAGAGTTTCTTCTCAAATCAGATTTCTTGGGAGATCCGGTAGCTACTTATTCAGTTGCAAACACCATTGCAAACTCAGAAGACGAGTCTGTGCCTTCAGAACTGAGATCGTTTCTCCAAGAACATTGGTCAGAGGCTGCTTTCAACAATGGATTAAAGGAAAGCCGAGATAACTTCATGAACTTCATGAGGGTTTTGAAGATTGGAGAGTCTGCTATATGTTTGAAGGATCTCCCAGGTCCATTGAGAGTTGCAGTCGCTTACATGCCACTGTACAGAGAGTGTGTGAAAGCAGGAGGAATGTTGCTCTCACAGAGATTAAGAGGACAGCTCATGGAAGCAGCGAGGCAGCTTCAAGGCTTAGATGTGGACACAGAGGAAGTATACAAAGGTCATCATCATCAGCTCATGGCGGTATTGGAGCATCACCTCCCTCTTTTTTTGGTCAAAGCTTCTTCACACTGAGACATCTGGGTTTAACCTTGGCCATTTGCTTTAAAATAAGAACGGAATAAACAATCATATGCCTCTACAGATTTGGAACCGGATCCAGGGTTTGGATATGATGAAAGGAGCTTTGTATAAACTAACTTCCTATGAGAATGTCTTTACACATGGAGGAGATGAATATCCAAAACGTTTTTTTATAATATATTATTTCAACTAAAAAAGAAATAAAGACAGTCTTGCTTCTGTCTCTGACTTTGAATCCCATCTACAAACCCATTAATTGACCAAGTCATGCAAAGTGTATAGTAATATTGCATCTGATAACAAGTTTTACAAATGAAATAGTTATACAAAATCTCTTCCTCTGAAACCTTATGTAATGACAAAACAGAAAACGTTATGTTACATATAAGTGTTTGTTGTTACATGTTTGGCATTATAATAAGAAGAAGAAGGCATTAAAGCAAGAACCATAAGCAGAACCATAATCCCAATAGGAATGAGAAGCAGCATGAAAGGAGGAGGAGGCAATGGTGGAAGAATCAAAGGAAGGATCAAGAGAGATGCTGTGAGACCAACAAGGACAACCATTGACTCTAAACTGAAGTAACTTGTCGTTATTAGCTTCCTCGGTCTGTTGCTCTGAGAGGATGACAATGTACGGATATATTCTTGATTACTCATCATAGGAGGAGCTTGAGATGATCCGCGGAAACTCATGCCGTTTTGGTTATCTCTTCTCGTATCCATGTTTTTTCTTGTCAGGGGTTGAAGAAGAAGATTTTCTTGAGAAAGCAGATTACATGTGTTCTTAGAGCTAAACTTCTTGAGCAAAGAAACTTTGAAACCTTTCTTTGTAAGGAAAATACAGAGGAAGAAGAGATAGAGTTTGGTATAAAAGCTGGTGAGAAGATATAGAAGTGAAGAAGAAGAAGAAGGCAAGTATTCATTCAAAAGAAAGGAAGAAAATAAATACTCTCTTTGGGATTAGACTCTCTGTGGAATCAGGAAAGAGAGGAAGGTTCAATGAATTTACAGATTTTTTTTTAGCAGTAATAATGATTAAATAGGAGACTTACATTTGTAATTTATTTGTTTTTTCTCTTTTTGGGTAGACAAGTGTGACAAGCAAGTTGCTGTTTCTGGAAGGCATGCAAATATTGAAAATTTAGATTACTTTTGAGTCTCTCTCTATGATCACAGTTGGTTCTTCTCCCCTAGATACTTTATCTCTTCCTTAAAATTGGAGATGAGGTAGGCTAGAATTTTATTTTAGGTAAGCCTCTGACTGAAAGTGGATGTTTGAGTTTGTTTTTGGGAATATTCAATGTGTTTTAATTAAGCTAATTAAGACTTTTATATTTTCGTCTATGTTGTAGTTAGTTGACCAAAAAACGGAAGTGTTTTTTGTTTTTGTTTGTGAAGGCTTTATTTTGTCTCTTATTATTTATGACATTTTTATAGTAATCGGTGGTAATACGAAAACAAATAAAATGTTAACCACTTGATGTTAATTAAACAAACAAAAAGCTAAGTTCATTCTTCGTTAAAGAGATTTCTTAATGTGATTGCGTTATTTATGGCTTGATTGGCAATTTGACACTGATAACACACATTATATGGAATAAAATTAGCCACTAAAAATGCTAGAAACAAATAATTAAAGATTGAAAAATATTGAACTTTTGAAAATGGTCACTTAATCTGTGATCTATATGCATTGTTTATTACAGTAATAGTGACATAGTGTAATACTATTATCACTCAGGGTTGTAATCTATTGAAACTATGGACGGAAAAAACCCGTACAAAAGTAGAGATTCGTATTCATCTGCACTAGAGGTGGATTCGAGGGATAACAATAATTAATATATTGAATGCTGTGAAATCAAATTTAATTGACAAGAAAAATTTACCCAAAAAACTTATAATTAAAGAGTCTGTATATAAAAACTGTATAGTTGTATTTCTACCTATTAATAATGTTGTATATGTTTATCGACCAATTAGGACCCATATATATTGTCATTCTTCTATTCAGCATTTCATGTGGTGGATATATCATATTATCGTGTTCCTAGTGGGACAGTTGGTTCAATATATATTTTTGGGTTTAATGTTTTTAATCGTTACTATTATCTTCTTTTTGCTCGTATATTATTAGTTAAAGCTAATAAGAATTCCTGCATTTTACATGAAACATTTGGTTGCGTGATTAATGAGGGACATGATATTTTGCGTAAGCAGCTAGTTTTTTGGCCTTTCGGGTATTAACAATTGACATCATGTTTACCAATACATTATCTAAATTCGAAGAGTCACACGCACTATATAACAACAGACCTTACACCAAAACCAAACTAATTAAATGCCATCATTATTTTAATTAACTCTATAAATGGTTACATCAAGACGTTACCTCCCCTTCATAAATAAAGACAAAACTTAACCTAGGTACAATGATAAAGATATGATGCATGCAGACTTGAAATATTGTGAAACAAATAGTTTATTTAAGAGTTGAGAAAAAGATTTAATTACAAAATATCGTAGTGATAAAGACATGATGCATGCAGACTTGAATCTTGTGAAGAAAATAGTCTTTAAGAGTTGCAAAAATATCGTAGACATCGATATCTTTCTGACACGAAAGGATATTCAACTAATCTTGAGGATATGTACTTGATACTATAGCTTGGATCGATGCCACACATTTGAGTAGTTGTGTACAGAGATCAAGCTCAATCACTTATCCAGATCGGAAAAGATTTATATTCGTAGGCAAAACCAAGAAAGATATATACATTTTTAAAGGCGAACAAAACAACATGATGATTATTTTACAGAAGGGTTTGTGGATTCTGTTAGTATTATAGTATTTGATTTTAAGAAATTAGAAAACAAAATCAAATGGTTGAAAGGGAAAGCTATAGAAATGGCAACCCATGCATGATTGCCTTGAACATCGCAAACCCTTCTTCTAGATTGCATGTCCTAGTGGTTGTGGATAGGGCTGGGCATTTTATTCGTTATATTTGATTCGATTCGTTATTCGTTTCGATTCGATCCGAAAATTCCGGATATCCGTAAACTTTCGAAGCAAAGCAAATACTAAAATTCAATATCCGTTAAAATCGAAGCAAATCACAAATATTAAAATTTTGGGAAGCGGATATCCGATCCGATCCGGAAATATATAAATATATGTATATTTTGATTATATTTAAGATTTTAAATGTATAAAATTATATAATTATTATTCTAACACATGATTTTGAACAATTCTATTCACATTATTACTTATATAAAAGTATTACATAAAAGAGAGAAAATTTTTATGACAATAGTATTTTTTTCTTAAATTTTGTGTTATTATAATTGTAACTTAAACTTAAAAAAATTACAAAATATGTAAATTCACTAGTTCNATAAAATTATATAATTATTATTCTAACACATGATTTTGAACAATTCTATTCACATTATTACTTATATAAAAGTATTACATAAAAGAGAGAAAATTTTTATGACAATAGTATTTTTTTCTTAAATTTTGTGTTATTATAATTGTAACTTAAACTTAAAAAAATTACAAAATATGTAAATTCACTAGTTCTTTTAATTTTTATTTTATATATCATGCAAAAAAAATATTTTTGAAAAGCAAATTTGTATCAAAATCTTAAGATTATTTGTATTAATCAAAACTAATGAGATATCCGTAAATATCCGCAAATATCTATTTATTTCCCGGATATCCGTTTTTTCGGATATCCGTATTTTTTCGAAGCAAAGCAAATACCAAAATTAGATATTCGTAACATTCGAAGCAAATCACAAATACCTTAAAAAACCCGGATATCCGATCCGTGCCCACCCCTAGTTGTGGACCAGTTGCAACAATATTCAACAAATATCATTACTTTATATAGAGTATCATAAATTTTGAATAATACATATGCATTATTATCTCACCAACGAGTTTATATGATATGCCCACAGTTTCATCACATATTTGAGTATTATTGATCATATTTCTGTATTAAGCCTATCTTTTGATAATTTGATGGTTTTACTTTCAGACTATAGATATACTGAAATAATATATTTAGTATAAGATTGGCTAAAAATATGATAAACAAAATGATATGTTCAATGATTTCAAAAGGTAGATAATGTGGATGAGACGGCACATGTCAAAGTCACGTGGCTCGTTCTCATCGATTCATTGCACATCTCGACCAACTTGTCTTATTAATATTCCTCGTACAACTCTTTAGTCTCTTTCTTCTACGTTATACATTTCTTTAGAAAAAAGTTATACGTTTTTTTACATTTTCAGTTTTCTTCTCTTTCATAGACATTATATTCAATCATATGGTAAATTAATCTCTACAGTGTCATTAATAGAAAAAGTTAAAGTATTTATGTTCTTTGGGGGTAAAGATCAGAATATATGGGGACATACACTTTACTTTTGTCTAGTTTTTAAACTAGCTTGGTAATGAAGCCTGAGCAAAGATATGACCAGTCTGAAAAGGGAATTAAAAGGATGGTGGTAACATAAAAATAAAATTCATGCATCTAATTATGAAGGTATTGGATTCATTGCATGTGTGGACAATATATACCAAAACATGAAAAGCTAACAAAAATAAAAACAATTAGTATATAAAAGGAATAACATATATGTAAAGAGTAAAAATGAAATGATTGGATAAATATGGGGGTGAGTAGGACCCAAGGTGGCAAACATGGTGGCTGCTCTGTTTGATACAATCTTCAAACTCTGTGTGCTCCCTTGACAAAAATCTAAAACCATTGTTGTTGTTTTTTTATTCCAAAACCTGCTTTAAACTTTTTAAATAGTTTGGTTGCTTAGACCAATGAAAATGTCAAATTGTCTTTCTTGAATATTTTTTTTTAATACAAAAAGGCATCTTGATTTTTGATAACATTGTCTGGTTAAAAGTTCACGGTGATGCCCACGAATATATACATTGTCTGTGGTTCAAAGTTCAAAATATCATTTCATATTAAAAGTTAGTTTTCTGAAGTTGAGAATATTTGGAAGTAAAAAGTCAAAAAGACATTTTTTAAAAATGTTTTTTGCTATTGTGAGGATTGATTCAGTGTCTTGTTCAAACCTGGTACTATTACAGTCTCTTATTAGGACAATCGTAACTCACTTAATATTGAAAAACGCGTTTTATTAAAACGTTTATGACGCTCAAAACGTTTCATTTCAAGTTCCAAGAAAAACAAAAACTCTCAAAAAGATGCATTTGAAGAAAACTGTCAAACTTCTTGTTCATCAAGATCACATCTTGGCTTCTCTAGCAGCTAATCTCTTCTTCTTCTTCTTGACACTAGCAGACTTGTAACCACCTTTGCACGGTTTCCCCCAAGGGCTAACCGATGTCCTTCCTCTGCTTCCACTACTTTTGCTTTTCCCTTCACCACCACCATGTGGATGATCACACGGATTCATCGCCACTCCTCTCACTTTGGGTCTTATCCCCCGCCACCTATTCTGTCCTGCTTTGTACAGCTTCTTCACTCCATGAGACGGGTTCGAGACTGTACCAATGGTAGCGCGGCACCTGGCGTTGATCCACCTGGTGTCACCTGATGGAAGCTTGATCAAGCACTTACCTGAAGCAGGCTCCTTGAGGATCTTGGCGTTTGTTCCTGCAGCTCGTACAAGCTTGGCGCCTTGTCCAGGGTTCATCTCGATGTTGTGGATGATNTGCGCATCATTCCTAGTGGCATGGAACTTCCTATCATTGAGTTGATGTCCATGTGAAGCATCTTTTCCTCCATTTCTGCCACCAGTGTTTTGTTCTGCACATCACCAAAACCTGCAAAAATACCACAAGAAAAATATTAGAGGGCCTACATGCATTGGTTTTATGTACTTGATTCATCTTTTTGGATGCGCTCGTAAAGAAAGAAAAATTCTAAACAAAACGCACTGAAAACAAAGGCAAGGATTTTGACACAAGCTAGATGAAATCTCTTAAACCAAGTTTGAAGATGCATGTACATCATATGCTCAAGAGAACTCAGACCCAAGTCCCTAAAAAATACCTGTATCGATCGGTTTTATGTACTTGATTGATCATTTTGGACACAACCATAAAGAGATCTTCTTTGAGGGACTAACACAAGAGTTATGAGAAGAATGCAGCAACAGATTTCGGAAATGCAAAACAGCAATAGAGTTGGAGAGACTCAAGTGTAGTCCTTGAAGAGATGTAATGATCATGATTTTTTTCTTTCAACACAAAACTATCCCAACATGAAGTAATGAAGTACTCAGTTTGCTAAACTGTGGAAAATAAATATGAAGAAGAGATGAGAAGTCATGCAAAGCTAATCCTAATCCGTTTACTAACTCATAAGAGAGAAGCAAAGGCTTTATCTTTACAAAACCCACAAAAGTTCTTAATCCCCTTAAAAGTAGTTTGAGTGAACACAAACGCAAGAGAGAAACAATAAATACTAATGCATTTATGAAGAAGAGATGGGAAGTCATGCAAAGCTAATCCAAATCCGTTTATTAAGAAGCAAAGGGTTTATCTTTACAAAAACCACAAAAGCTCTTAATCCCCCAAAACAGCTTGAATGAAGACAAAATGCAAGAGGGAAACAATAATACAAATACTAATGCAAATACAGCTCACAGCTCAACCTGTTTCCTCAAGGATACACCATCCTACAACCTAGATACCACCTCTTTCCAAAACTAATTAAAAAAAAAAATTGATTCAATACTAGCAATTGTTCAAGCAGAAAGTAATAAAAACTTCAAAAGATGCATAGTAAGACAAGCAATTTCAAGACATAATCATGTTCTTGACATAGGCAATAAGAAGTAACTAAAAAATCATATATTAAAAATCAGTTAACAGCCTTGTGAATCGTTTTTTTTCTTCTCAGAAAAAAAAACAGGAAAGCCAAAGGGAGTATAACTAGTACCTGTGGAGAAACTGCGAAATGCTGGACGAACAAGGCTGTTGAACAAAGAAGAAGAAGAAGAAGCAGAAGCTCGAGCTCTGCATAGCGCCACAAGGGCAGACATGGGAGTGACTGAGCTAGAGAAAAGTACGATTTTTTTCACTCTACCTCCAACCTATCAAAACAAACAACAACATTAACAGATTAAAACTAGAGTTCTTGACGCACGATCTATTTAACCGACTCAGATCACAAAAATCATCACAAACGATATCAGATTCAAAGTCTAAGACTTTACGACACTACGAACCGCGCATTACTACAAAACTGCTAAAGAATACTGAGCGAAAGTAAAGTAAGTTTTTTTTTGCACTCTAGATCCAACCTATCACACAAACAACAACATTAACAGCCTAAAGTACGGTTCTTGACGCGCGACCAATTCAATCGACTCAAATCACAACGACTATTCGATTCCAAGTCTTAAACTTTACAATTACTATATACACCGACTCATTTCTACAAAACTGATAGAGAATGTTTGTTGGGTTCTAAGATTAACAAGACAAACCTGAGAAATGCGAAAAACGACGAAGCTAGAGAACAAACGCGGCGAGGAAATGGAGAGCTAAAAGGGTTCTATTTACTAAACCACGAAGGAAAAAGCCTACTGATTTACAATAACCGGTTCAAACCACCCGGTTTAGACCGTAACTCAGAGAAAAAACAGCCTCTCCACTTCTCTCTCCTTCTAGAGTTAGGGCTTATCTCCCCTCCTCTAATCAATTACTAAACCCTTTCAAGCGACAACAAAAGAAACCATTTTTCCCATCACCCATCTGAATCCCTCACCAAAGTCGCAACCTTTTTCTTCTGGGTCTCCTCCAGAATGAGCTCCCTTCTCCCCAAAACCAAAAAGCTCTCATCTTTCATCACAAGACATTACCCAATCCTCAAAACCCTAATAAACCCACATCCTTCTCCTCTCCTCCCCATCTCTCACTACGCAACCCAATCCTCCAAGTTCCCAGAATACGAAATGCCCACAGTCACATGGGGAGTGATCCAAGGCAAGAAAGAGAAACTCATAAACCGAGTCAAAATCTGCGATTACCTCAAAACCCTAGGCATAATCACCGACGAATTAGAGCCCATCGAGCTCCCTTCCACCATCGAAGTCATCTCCGAGCGCGTCGAGTTCCTCCAGAAGCTAGGGCTAACCATAGACGACATAAATGAGTATCCTTTAATGTTGGGTTGCAGCGTTCGCAAAAACCTGATCCCTGTCTTAGCTTACTTGGAGAAAATCGGAATCTCTAGGTCGAAGTTAGGAGAGTTTGTCAAGAATTACCCTCAGGTTTTGCACGCTAGTGTGGTCGTTGAGCTTGCTCCTGTTGTTAAGTTTCTTAGAGGGCTTGATGTTGAGAAGCAGGATCTAGGGTATGTGCTGATGAAGTATCCTGAGCTTTTAGGGTTTAAGCTTGAAGGGACTATGAGTACTTCCGTTGCTTATTTGGTGAGTGTTGGTGTGAGTCCTAGAGATATTGGTCCTATGGTGACTCAGTATCCTTACCTTTTGGGGATGAGAGTTGGGACTATGATTAAGCCTCTTGTGGATTACCTTGTTTCCATCGGTTTGCCGAAGAAGATTGTGGCGAGGATGATTGAGAAGCGTGCTTATGTTATTGGGTATAGTTTGGAGGAGACTGTTAAACCTAATGTGGAGTGTTTGATTAGTTTTGGTGTTAGGAGAGAGATGTTACCTTTGGTTATAGCACAGTATCCTCAGATTCTGGGGTTACCGGTGAAGGCTAAGATGTCTACGCAGCAGTACTTTTTCAGTTTGAAGCTTAAGGTTGATCCTGAAGGGTTTGCTCGTGTGGTGGAGAAGATGCCTCAGATTGTTAGTCTTAAGCAGAATGTGATAATGAAACCAGTTGAGTTTCTGTTGGGGAGAGCGTTTAAGGTTGAGGATATTGCGAAGATGGTTGTGAGATGTCCTCAGATTCTTTGTTCAAGAGTTGAGCTCATGAAGAATAGTTATTACTTTTACAAGACTGAAATGGGGAGACCTATGAAGGAGCTAGTGGAGTATCCTGAGTATTTTACTTATAGCTTGGAGTCTAGGATTAAACCTAGGTACCAGAAGCTACAGAGCAAAGGGATTAGGAGTTCGTTGAACTGGTTCTTGAATTGCAGCGACCAAAGATTTGAGGAAAGGTTGGAAGGGAACTTTATTGATGCGGATACTGAAGGTCCAGTGTTTGACATGGGTGGGAAGTTAGATATGCCTGGTGGTGGTGGTGAGGTTGTGTCTGATGAAGATGATGATGAGAGTGATGATGATGAAGTTCTATACAGACGCACTCTTACTTTGTAGAGCTATTTACTACTCTCTTGTTTCAAGGACTAGAGTTTTTGGAAATGCATTGTCTTCTTTGTTCTCTCTGTTCACTTGATTGTTTAAGTTGTTTCTCATGAGGTCTCTTATGAAAGACTCTAAACCTAATCACTTTTATTAAGTTTTGTAGATTTTATAACATAGTTTTGTGTTGTATCTTGTGGAAAACTAACAAAGTATGAATGTATTATACAGTACTTATACCACATGTGGCTTAGGTGAACAAAAACTTTTCATTTGAGATATAGTGAGAGAGCATAAATGGGTCGGAACTATATTTATTTCGACATTTGACCCCTACAAGTTATTGTTTTCTCGTTGAAGCCCCATAATTTATACATTTTCACAACAACCCCTATTTTGTATCGTAAAGTTTACGACATCAAAAGATCATCACAAGATAACGAATATGTACATGAACAATAGCACACATCTTTGTAATATAAAGTTATAAACCAACAAACACGCTAAAAAGAGAGTTCGAGTTTCCTATTTTCTTGAAAATAATATTATTGACCTGAGATGCAAGAAAACAAACGATGGCTCTTGTATCTCACGAGTTGACCTTCACGTGGCGGTGAAAAACTCTTCTCCCTTGCTCCACCGCTGCTTCCTTTCGTTTCTCGGTTTGATAACGATGAGAATTCTCCCATGGACCAGCGACGGCGATGGTGACCTTCTACGTTCGTTTCAATATCTGAAACGAAGATGTAAGAGTCACGATGAGTTGTGGAGGAGGTGGAGGAGAGACACTCGTAACGGCGGCGAGTTAGGTTCTTCTTCATGGCCCTTAACGCCATTGGTATCAAGCCATCCATTGACACCAACTTTCTTTTTTGTTGTTCTTTAAGGTGATGAAGAGGTTTTGTTATTTTATTGGAAGTGTATATAAGATTATGGGTTTGGTGCTTTGTTACCTTCCACTTTCTTCTTTTTGTATGTTTCTTTATTTATACAATAACTCTAATAGTTTTTGAGTATTGTTTTCTCTCGTTTGATGATCTATGTCAATTTGTAATAGTTGGGTCTTCTTTTTTATTATTATGTTTGGACTTCAACAGCCACACAAAAAAATGATTAAGAAAATGATTCTTTAGTTGTTCTAATGAGTACTTGGTATAGTATCTTATGTTTATGTTTAAAACATGATTTTATACGCCCAAATTATATGAAATAAAAATATTTATTACGTTCGTGTTTTGATACCTGAGTTATCGTAGAGTATATGATTTTGTTTTTGTTTTAGCATGTTGCAACACAACTTTGTATACTTGAGATTAAGATGTGGATAAGCATTAGTTGAATTAATGACATACATTCTTATCTTGTGTGTTGTGTCAACGAGTAAACAGTTGATTAAGAACTAACTTAAAACGTAAACTATGAACGGTTACTGCCTAACACAAGAGGGTTTGTGATTGAGAGACCTAACAAAAGTCCAACCCGTAACTTCTTTTTAATATTGATATACAGTTGTTGGACACGTTATCATGATCCATCTCATCTCTGACTCGGTGTTTGTGTTATAGCCTAAAATCATTCAAAAAAACAAAATTATAAGAGTTTTTTTTGAGACTTTTGTGTTTGTTTAGTTTAGGTTTTATATATTTTGCTGAAGAAGACGGATTCAAGATAACCTTACTCTAACGATCAAGTAACCTATACATATGTTCATCAACTTTCAAGTCACAACATTAAAGATTAATAATGGTTGCATCCTCGGAGAAAGATTAGAGTGACGACTAAATTGATGATGCTCCTTACGCTAAACAAACACAAACTATATATTAAATTAATCAAAGGCAACATTATTTATTTGATGAAGAGAATCAAAAGAGAACACTTACCAACGTATACTTTACAATTTACTAACAAAAGTATATTTCAGCAACATCTTATACAACTAATTAAAAAGGGTAAAAGAGTTGGAAAGATTAAACTAAGAGAGTTTTCATTTACACCAGAAACGTTGAATCACTTCATCTACCAGATTAAGATGCATCAAACACTTCAAATTCACACTTCTCTTGTTCAAAACCCCCAAGTGCACTTCACCTCTCAGTTTAGCTCCAACCTTGAGGATAATCAACCTTCTCTTTATATCGTTCTTGAACCAAACAGATGGTGTCTGATCCTCTCTATAACTCACATGTGTCCCAACCTTTGTTCTTATGGCACTATATGAACCCACCTGTTGTCCATTAATCTTCATTTCACCAACAACACGACCGTTGTACAATATATCTCCTGTACTAGTTGGAAACTCAAAGAAGCCGAAGTTTGGATTCTCAATTCTGATCTCCATAGCCAGTGTTGCGTTGAGATAAGGTGATGTATCATTGTACTTGAGGCTTGTTACAGCCACAGATGTCAAGCTTGCTTCAAGTGGCTTGGCTAGGACAAAGAAACCAATGATGATAAAGAGGCTGAGCAGAATGCAAAGCCCTAGAAGGGTGTAGATGATGATGTTACCAATGGTATCACTCTCTTTTGGTTGCTGAACTGCATCTTTGCTCTTGGCATACATTCTTCCTCAAGATGGTTCAGTTACTAGATGATGAAAAGAATGGGAAGACTACTAATTATATATACCGTTAAGAGAAACTAGATGACATCAATGAACAAAGTAAATTCAAAAAAAAGAAATGTTTTTAATGTGTGGGAAATGGAAGGAATGAATAGGTTCTTGATCAGCATGACATTGGAAGATGATGTGTGGTTTCCTAAACAAGTAAGAGATGCTTAAATGAACCTTTTAAAGCTTTGTTTCATCTTAAAGACTTTAACTCTTTATGTTTTGTTTACACGGCCTGGTGCCAAGGAAAGGTATCAAAGAAAGCTTTGCAACTAACAAACTTTTATAAAAGAAACCAAAAGACAAGAATGTAGCAATGTGAACACTCAATTCTACTCCTAATGTATCTTGAGAACTGAGCAATCGAACATTCTATGATTTACCGAAAGACTAAAGAATCAAAATATTCTCCTTTTTCAAAACCTGGAGCAAAGGAAAGGTATCTGGCAAAGCTCTAACTTTCAACTCAAAGATGCTGAAACAACAATATCCTTTTATTGAAGAACTATAACTGTATTTAGAGAAATGAAAAACATATGTTTTATTGGTTTAACAAAAAAGGATTTCAAATATTCTGATGCGCTCAGAATAAGAATTGTTGTTTTATAAGTGGGAAAAGTGAAGAAAACAAGAGAGAAACAACAAACAACAGGAAGGAAAGTTCCTTCAGCTACGACCTGCTAACATGAAACATACTTACAAGGAAAACAGATGCTTGAAACTAATCGCTCTAGGAAGTTTATTAACTCTTGTTGTAACATGCCATCCAATTTGAATCCTCAGAACATATCAGACCACCACCACCATCAGTACTTATTGACTCTGCAGCAGAGCATGGAAGCAGTTCTCTTCCTTTTCCTGCAGGAGCATCACCTTTAACTAAACCTCTCTGAAACTGTGAGAGATCAATGGAATCAGAAGATGTGGCCAAAGAGTCAAAGTTGAAACTTGAACTGCTTGGTTTCTGTGGGGAGGCATGGCTCCTTGGAGACAATCTGACTGACTGAAGAGTACTTGTCAGTGTGTCCAAATCTGAACCAACCTCAAGTTTCTTTTTGAATTCACCTTGGGAACACAAGAGTCCCAAGTAACTGTCGAAGCTTGAGTTGGATTCTGGTGTTTGAATCACATTCTCGCTTCCCAGTGTATCAATAGATAAGGGAGACTGTTTGTCACCTCCCAAATGCTCAGAAGGATCCTCTAGCTCACACTTAGGGGGTGGAAGCTGCATAAATCTCCTGAAACGAGAAAGCTCATTTGGAGAAAGAGAAGAACTAATCCTTCTCATCGTCTCTTTACATGTACTCATGGGTGAAAGACTTCTTCCACCGCTAATGTTGCATAAATCAGAAGAAGTACTACCATCTGATAGTGGCGACAGACTCTCATGGCCTACACACTCAACAATCTCCTGAAACTGAGAGAAACCATCATCATCATACTTTTCCTTCTCCTCATCACAAGGAGATAAAAGCCAGTGCACTGACGCATCAGCAGGCAAAGGCATCATAGAGACGTTATCATAACTTCCACCAACAACACCAAAACCTCCTTCATCAAATTCATCAGAATCATTCAGTATCTTACCCTTACCAACCTCAAAACCATTCTCACACACAGTGAGTATCCCTTTAGGCTTGCATTTCCTCTTATCACTAACACCAGAGAGTAAATGCCCAGCAGCATAACAAGCTTGTGACTGAGCTGATGCAGACAAACTCATAGACGTTCCACAGTGCATCTCTGGAGATACTGATGCTTGCACAGGTGGTGTCTTCTCTCGACAACTACTACTACTATTACTATTGCTTACTCTACCATCATCCTTACCTTCATCACCGTTACTTCTATAAACCAAATCACATCCTGTTCCTAGTTTAGACACAGGAGTACCAACACTGTCATCTACTCTAACCGTATCTTTAAGCTTAACCTCTCTAGAAACAGAGGATTGCTTCTTCAAAACCGAACCTTTAATCTTACCACTAGCGACTCTCTTTCCAAAAGTAGGGTTTGTTCTACACCTCTGAGGCTTCTCAGTAACAGTAGACTTCAGCTTAGTCTCCTCCAGAGACTTTGGTTTCTTTCTAATTAAGGGTTTACTCAAAACGGGAGCAGACTTAGGGGTTTTAGCAGCTACTGATCTAACACTATGAGGATTCACTCCTAGCGACGAAGAAGACGATGAGAGCAAGAACCTGTGACTACCGGAACCACTCCCATTGCTACAACTACTGCTTCCAGAGCTTCTTGTAGTGAATCCTCTCAATGGGTTCGCCGGAAGTTTCTCCCTTTTTAGCTTCTTCTCCTTCTTCTCCGGCGGCTGTGGCTGAGAAAGCTTCTTCGTTTCCCGGTTCATTTCCCCGGAACATTCGACAAAACAACCTTAAACTCTCTTCTTCACAGTTTTGTCTAAGTTTCCGATCTGATTTTCATTCAAAAAACAGAGGAGGCGTAGAAATGAATAAAGATTGAAACTTTGACGGAGAGGCTTGCTTTTTGTCCTTTTCTTAATTACCATTCTATCCTCAGCTTTTAATCCGTGAAACTGTAGTGCAGTAAGGGTAAATCGGACAGTTCAATAAAGAAGAATACTTTCTCCACGATTCCGCCATTTAACGGCTAATCGCCACCGTAAAGTTTTATTCTTTTTTTTTTCTTTCAGAGAGAGAGAGAGAGAGAGATGGGAAGAAGTAGAAGAACGATGAAATGTGTTTTACTGGACGAATCTGTGCTTCTCAATCACGAAGATGATGATGATTCGACGCTGGGAGTTCGAGCATCAGTTACGTCTCTCCTCAGGCTGCTTCGTTACTCCATGATCCGAACGGTAATAACGACTTGATTGAATAGTTAAACGCATTGCATGCAGAGTTTTTTTATTGTCGTTTTTGGTCAAGTCTAAAGTGGTGAGATGAGGAAAGGATTGAACTTTAGATTCGAAATTGTAGTTTCAGACATTGATTCTTTTGTTCTTCTTCCTCCACTACTGTAATGAAATTTGGATTTTTCTTTTTGTCGTTTTGCTGTCTCGCAGGGGATAGCTTATAATCTTGATCTTCCGGAAAACAAGGTTTGGATGACTTGTTTAACTGTTTTAACATTGTGGTGTGAGGTTGATTGGTCTGTACTATCTTATAGGTGGATTTACTGAGGAAAACGGCAGTGGAGTACTCTATTGACTGCTTGCCTTTGAAGACGTCTCTGACAAGTGTTGCTTTTGGTGATGCTCTCAAAGCATGGTATAGTGATGGGGACATTCTTTATGTTGCTTCAACTAGGAAAGAAGAGACACTGCGTGAACTAGGTCCAAGCCAGCTTGTTGTTGTACTTGGTTAGTGTTGAAGTTCATCTCTCTATAGTCACATGAGAGTTAACATTATGGTTTTTTAACAGTTTACTATGTAAATTTTTTAAAAGATGCTTCCTAAGTACAAGTATGAACTCCCACAAACGAGTGTTTTCTTTTGTACTGATGTGCTTAAGTTTTATGGACATTTTTGGGTTTCTATATGTTGTAGAAGGCGATTCATGTGAGGATCCTAACATGCTTCGTATCAGTAGGCTCGAAGAGCTTCCAGTGACTATTTGCTGCATGAACAAAAAGGTATGTCTTGACGTTCATGTTGGCTTAAACTATAAAACGCTTCAAGTTGAGAAAAAAAAAAACTGGTTTACTTGAAGAGTTTACTCATTCTTGGGCAGATCTAAATTTACTAGATAATGTTGCTGAGTTGCTTGATTTCTCACCTTCATAATCTTCCTTCTCCATTTAATTTGGTTTATATATTTTGCCTCTCAAAAACAGGCAATGGGTGATAGTGCTGCAATAGTTGCTTACATCATGAAGCCATCTCGCGTAGACGACTTTGCCAAGGTTATAACCATATTTAAAATTCAGCTTTCAAACATTGGGTTTATGGTGATCAATGCTTACTCGCTGGCTCACTTTATGCTGATTATATTTATGCTTTCCCCTCTAGGTCGTTATTGATTCATGATAGTAATATGGTGTTTATATGTAATGTTCACAGTGTTAAATTTTTCTTGATTTTATTTAGAGAGGTGCTTTACCAATGTATCCTACTTCAAATGGGCTGATCTTTCTACCCCTCATGTTTGAGTTACCTCTCTCATCTCAACTCAAACACGCTGACGTCATTTTCCACAAAGCAACTGATGAAATCTTGTCCATTCAACTCAACTGCTCCGACTCAAAATCATCTGTTGAAGTTACATTTTCTACCGGCATGGAGGAACTGCGAAAGTAAGCTTTTCGATTATGTGATTTCAGTCTAGCTCTAGCACTGTGTTGTATCAGCAAGTGACCTATAGATACCACAAATATGATAACCTTGTTGATAGCTCTCGGTACAGGCTTGCATAATATTATAAGTTACTTGTAGGTATATGGAAGATCAAAATGCTTGTGCTATAGTTGACCCGATCCAACATATATATCCTGTCTTGGACCGACTCAAGATGCAACACATTCTTCTTGGATTAGAGGAAATTACTGCACAAGGACGAAAGATAAGAGGCGCCTGCTTCCTCAAGGTCTTAGAATCCTCCTTTTCACATTAATTCTTTACTTTTTACCTTTGCAAGTTAATAATATTAGAGTTCTTTATCTGCAGATTGACAGTTATGATGAACCGGATCTGGCTCAAAAATTGTCAAGAGCTGGACTCTCTCTTCCATGTATTGTGAAACCTCAGGTTGCCTGTGGTGTTGCTGATGCTCACAGCATGGTGAGTATATCTCATACTTTCCTTCTTGATTTAGTCTTTCAGAGCCAAACAAAATCCTCATTTTCATGTGTTTATCTTCAGGCCATTGTCTTCCGAGTTGAGGACTTTAAAGATTTGAACACTCCTGTCCCTGCCATAATCCAAGTAAGTCATAACCTAACCTGGATGAACAATACTTAAATCTTGATGTGAAGCATAATAAAAACTCGTTAATCACTGAATTTGCAGGAGTATGTGGACCATTCATCCAGGATCTTCAAGTTCTACGTCTTGGGGGAAAAGATCTTCCATGCCGTAAAAAAATCAATCCCTAGTTCTTCCACCCTGAGAAAATCAGCTGAAGAAAACGGTCTCCGACCAATTCTCTTTGATAGGTAGATTTATCATAACACTTCCATTGACTCTTATGCCAAAGCCTTCACTTGTTGAAAGATTGTAACTTTTGGGTACTTCCACAGCTTAAAATCGTTACCGGTAGGTTCCTCACACCAAAATCCAGTAGATGAGATTGATCTAGAACTGGTTACAGAAGCAGCTAACTGGCTGAGAAAGAAGCTTGATCTCACAATCTTCGGATTTGACGTAGTTGTAAGTACACAACACCCTCTATCTCTAAAGCTACACTAACACAACTACTTACACACTTTCTCTCTTTGCTGACAGATTCAAGAAGGAACAAGAGACCATGTGGTAGTAGACTTGAACTACTTACCCTCGTTTAAAGAAGTCCCAGACAACATCGCAGTTCCTTCATTCTGGGAAGCCATCAGAAACAGGTTCGACAAACATGTCCAAGACCATTGAATCCAACATTGTGGGAAAGCTAAAGCTCTCTTCTGTCTAAGAGTTTGTGTTTTTTTATGCTTCAACTCTGAGAGAGACTAATAATAACTGTAAAAACCAGAATAATGTTTTATGTCTTAATGTCGGTATAAGAGCAAAAAAAAACAAAGCCCATTCTATAAATACACGACAAAGAGACGACCTTTGAGACCCGAGAACTTCTCTCCAAAACAGGAAAAAAGGAAGAGTCTTTTGTCTCTCTTTTGGTCTCTCTCCCCCCCCTTCTCCAGGGATCTACTCTCAGTCTATATCTCTCTCTCTGTAAGAAGATTCCCACTTGAAATTCTTCAGAAAAAGATCCAAACTTTACTTCCATCCATCCTATCACTATCAAAGTCTTCACCTTTAAGTCAATCAATCATCCATGGCTGATCAACAAACCCTAGATTCCGACTCAACTTCTTCTTCCGCTTCAGATCCGTCGCTGTTGAGATCTCTCTCCTCAAGTAGACTCAACGCCGGAGCTCCAGAGTTCGTACCTGGACGAACTACTCCTCCTCCTCCTCCTCTTCCGCAGCCGCAGCCTCCGAGGATGATTATCCCTCCTCCTCCGCCGCACGGTATGCTTCACATGTACCACCATCATCATCACCAGCGTCCTTTCAACGTTCCTGTTCTTGGTCCTGTCCCAATCCAGCCTCACCATCTTCCTCATCGCTTCCGTCATCAGAACCATCAGTATGTCCCCGTGAGGAGCCATCAGCAGCAGCGTGGAGGAGATCAGGAGCCTGTGGATTCGGTGGTGGTAGTGAAGAAGAGAGATCATCATAAGAGAGAGTCTAAGAAGGATGAGACTGAAGCTGGAGCAGGAGCTTCGGCTGTTATTGATCCGAAAACTGGTTTGTCTGAAGATACTGTTCAGAAGATTGTGAATCAGGTTAGGTTTCAGACATGATGATCTTGTTTGTTGTTCTGTGTTAATGTTTTGGTGTTGGAAGTTATTGACTAGTGTTGAATCAAACTGTTATCAGGTTGAGTATTACTTCAGTGATTTGAATTTGGCTACTACAGATCATTTGATGAGATTCATTAGTAAAGATCCTGAAGGATATGGTAAGTTTCTGTTGGTTTTGAAGATTGTTACTTTAGATTTGGAATCTTTTTTTTTTTTGTTCCAATCGATGATGGGATTTATGTGTGTTTACAGTGCCAATACATGTGGTTGCATCTTTCAAGAAAGTTAAAGCTGTAGTGAGTGGTAATTCTCAGCTTGCCACAGTGTTACAGAACTCATCAAAGCTTGTGAGTCCCTTTGTCTTGTTGCTTATTTCTCCTTCTGATGTTTTCTAACGTTTAAGTCATCAAACAGGCTGTCAGTGAAGATGGAAAGAAAGTGAGACGCATAAATCCTGTTACCGAGGCTGCACTAGAAGAACTTCAGGTATTATTTATTTATTTTGATACTTCTGTATACTGATTTATTTTATGAAGAAAGGGATGTGTTGATTTTCTAATGAGATTTATTTTTAATATGCAGTCTCGTATAGTTATTGCTGAGAATCTACCTGAGGACCATTGCTACCAAAATCTGATGAAGATCTTCTCAACTGTTGGAAGGTACAACGACTAACGTTTGTTGATTTTACTTTTGATATTCTAAATCAACCACCACTGTTAGGGTTTCTTAAAGTATTGAGTTATTTTGTTAGTGTGAAGAACATCCGTACCTGCCAGCCACAGATTACTGGGAATGCTGTTCCACCAGCAGCAAGATCAGCCAAAAGCGATGGTACTCTTTTCAGTAACAAGGTATACTAAATAAAGATGCATAGTTTTTTTCCACCTTGGTAAGATTAACAGGATGCAGAGTTGATGTTTCTTTTACGTTGTGCTCTTATAGGTCCATGCTTTTGTGGAGTATGAGACAGTTGAGCTAGCCGAGAAAGCAGTAAAGTCTCTCATTACTTGGATTTTCAGATTATGTGTGTTAATACTCTCATGTGCTGATGTGATTAACATTAAGGCATGTTACTTGTACAGGTTGCGGAACTAAATGAAGCAGGAAACTGGAGGAACAGTCTTAAGGTCCGGTTAATGTTAAAACCTCAGGTATGTGGTTTAAAATTTGATAGAGTTCAGATATATCTTAGTAGTTCAGAACACTCTCGTCATTGGTCTCAGTTTGAATCTGTGGAAGTTATTCTGGTTGCACACTGGTTTATGTTTTGCTATTCTAATCATACAGACAAAGGAACCAAAACAGGGTCAAGGGCGAGGAAAAAAAGGACATGATGTAGAAGTAGAACATGAGGAAGATGATGCCACGGCATCCGAGCAGCAGCAGCCGATTGAGAAACAATCTGAGGAGTGTTCTGGGGAATGGGATACACATGTGCCAGAGCAGACAGTGATAGTAGTAAGTAACATCAAATATGTTCTTGGGTCTTGCATTGTTTCTCCACTGGATGATTCCTTAACTTTAAGAGCGTAACAGGGAGAGGAGCAAGGGAATGAGAAAGCGGCTGGACAGAGAAAAGGGCGTAGCAGAGGTAGGGGAAAGGGACGAGGACGAGGTCAACCACACCAGAACCAAAACCAAAACCAAAACCAAAACCAGAACCACAATGGGCGTGGGAATCATCATAATCATAATCATCACTATCAACATCAACATCAAGTGGGAACACCACCTTCAAACAATCCAATGAACAGCATGGAGCAGCAGCCAAAACAGCAACCACCGGGACCAAGGATGCCTGATGGGACAAGAGGATTCTCGATGGGACGAGGAAAGCCAATCACGCTTCAGGCAGACTGATCGAGTGCTGTGTTTGCAAAGAGGTGATCGGGGTTCCACAAGGGAGAGAAAGAAAACCAGAGAGAGAGAGAGAGAGAAAAAGAGCTTTATATTCTTCTTACTTCAAAAAATAACATGTTTTGAATTGCTCTTAATCTTTTTACCTTACAAAGACAAAAAAACAAACAGCCTTTTTTCCCTTACAAGAAAGACAATAGTGGTGTTATAAGTGTCATGATGAAACTCAGAAACCAACTTTGAGTTTCTTATGTAAACACTTTTATAATGAAATAATAACAACTTTGTGATAGCTTTCTCGCCAATCCAAAATCAATGGCAGAACATCTCCGAGTGACATCTGAATTCGACAGTGATCCTCGTTCTCATCAGCCTCAGCTCTCTCTCACTTCCACAAACATCTATGTTCTCTACCTTGGAAACTGAAACTTTCGCTTTTCTTTTTCTCATTTAAGCGCCCCTCAAACAGTCATATGATTATAATAATGTATAGCAAATAGACATTCACCATACAATCAATCTCTACCTAATGTAAGATAAGCATCTTATTAGTTTATATTACAATAAAATACATGAAGGAGACACCACTACCTAGCTCTTGGCTAAGTAGCTAAGCCTGAGTTGTAATCATGAGGCATGTGTGTGTGATCTAGTTTCATAATCAATATCAAAGCAAGATTCCAGGTGGGGGATGAAGCTGGAAAAGTGAAAACGACACTGATGAAGATGAATGCTTCAAGTAAACTTTAGTGTTGATGTTCCGAGTCAAGAAGAGATATACTCTCTATGTAAAAAACCCAAGATAGTTTCAGTCATATCATATACATATATCCAACTTTCTTTTTTGTAGTTCTTTAGCCAAAAAAAACAGAAAAGTTGGACAAAGAAGAAGATACAAACTTGTCACTGCAATGGTATTTACTTTCTGTTCAAGTAGTAAACAGAGACATATTGACACGTGTTTAAGGCTTTAAAAAGTTAAAAGGCTTTTTAAAGTTTTTTAGCCCATAACAAAAACCAAAAAGTCAATTAAAAACCACTAGTTTAATTGGACTTATTACAGCTGCAAAGGAATAATGTTCTCCAATTAAAAATCTAAGATTGTTTTTTCCGTGTTCTGTTTTATCTTCTTCTTCTCTCGTTGGACGAAGCAGTGAAGGATTGATTCTCTGTCAAAATTTTCTCAATTATTTACGGGGGGAGAGAAGACGAGTGCAAAAGCGTGTGGATAGATAGATAGATAGATGAGTTCGTCTCTACCTATGAGGCTTCTTCTGCCTCTTACACCTTCCTTGCTTTCTCCTTGTTCGGATTCTCAAGCGCTAAGATCGAAAAACCCTAACTTTAATCTCCGATCCTCTTCTTCTTCTTTGACTACCTGTTGTTCTTCTTCCCAGTGGCAGCTTTTCCCTGGGCGTAAACAGCGATTCAGATCCTTCTCTCCTTGTGTTCCTATGGTAATGTCGCTGATTACTTTCGTACTTCTCTTTCTGCTTATTTCCGACAGGATTGTGTTAGAATGATTGATGTTTTGTTTCGTTCACGATTGAAAGTTTTAGTCTTTATTTTTTTGCTGGAGACATTAATTATTCTCTTCAATGTTTGTCTGTCTACTACTTAGGTTGTGACCTTCAAGTTGTAAAAGCCTTCAATGATTGTTCTGTCTCTTTCTATGTGCCTTTACTGTTCATAAGACTACATTCTTCTCATGATGGAAGAGTTATGTTATTTGGAGGAAGTGATTTCTTAACTCAATTTTGTATTCAGGTTTCCTTTTAGCCTTTGCAAGCATCTTGCTCTGCTTCTTGGGGAAGAAAAAAAAAATCAGTTGTTTTAATTTGTGATATAAGTTTTTTTATCTTTGTTGGAACTGATATGTTTTATAAGTATATAAGCTTTTAGATTTGGTCTTGAAGAGTTTTTCTGCTTCTTTTTTGAATAGTGCACGAAAGACCAAGACAAGACAGATAGCTGGAGAAATGAAGATGATCATATTACTACTACATGTGGGCTTGAATCTGATGAAGACTCCGGCGGCTTACGGATTCCTACTCAGGCTCAGGCTATCGTTGAAGGGTCTGGTTCTGTTGCTGTCTCAGAACTCAAACCTTCCCCTGATGTAGACTACATTCAAGTACGCCTACTTACTCTTATAATCGAATCTTATAGCTTTATACTATTGTTATTATGTATTTGTAAGAGTAGTAGAATTTGGAATATAAGTCTTTTTTTTAGCTAGCTGTGACCGTGTATATTTCATCAACAGGAGCTATTGGCGATACAGCAACAAGGGCCTAGAACAATTGGCTTCTTTGGGACTAGGAACATGGGTTTCATGCATCAAGAGCTCATCGAGATTCTTAGCTACGCCATGGTTATTACTGTAAGAGACTCCTTTTGAGCTATTTCTTGTTTGTCTCCAAATCTTTCTTTTTAGAGTTTTACTAAACCGTCTCTCCTCCTGCAGAAAAACCATATATATACTTCAGGTGCATCTGGAACTAATGCAGCTGTTATTAGAGGTGCGTTGAGAGCAGAGAGGCCAGAGCTTCTTACAGTAATTTTACCTCAAAGTTTGAAAAAACAACCTCCTGAGAGCCAAGAACTCTTGTCTAAAGTAAGCAAAACCTGGTTACTCTAAGATGTTGTGCTAAAAGTCAGTTAGGACGGAAACTTGTTGCATTCTTTTCCTCACCAAACTCTTCTCTTTTCACAGGTACAAAACGTGGTAGAAAAGCCACACAATGACCATTTGCCATTACTAGAAGCTAGCAGGTTGGTGACTAACTTCATCATCACACATTTGATGGTCAACAAGGATACATTATACAATTGAAACTGAGTTATTGTTTTTTTTTTGTGTGCAGGCTGTGTAATATGGACATCATATCACAAGTACAGCAAGTAATCTGCTTCGCGTTTCATGACAGTAAGCTTCTAATGGAGACATGTCAAGAAGCTAAAAATCTCCGCAAGATCGTCACTCTCTTCTACCTCGACTGATTCCACTATCTTATCATCTCCCGGGATCTCAAGATGGTATAAGTCTTTGTAAATTGTGAATCTCTCCCATCCACAACATGTTGCTATTCATTTGTCTAAATTTTGAAAACCCCATCTTTATGATTCATAGGATTAATTCTCAAGCTATTTTGTAACGTTACATGGGTTATAAACTCATTTTCTTATCTCATCCTCTGCAACTGGACAAGATCAATACAAAGTATCTCTTCCGAAAGCCAAATACATAAAGATTTGCATCACGTCTCTCTTACCTAGACAACTATTCATAACCGAAACTCTCCAATTGAGCCAGAAGCTTCGCTTTCTAACACCCAGCTCAGCATCCACATCATCATCTGCAACTGTTTCCTCTTTCTATGCATAAATTCTCATGAACATATTCATCATCGTATAAATGGGAAGCAGGAACAACTCCGTGGGACTTAGGAGGACCATCCCTTAATCATTTGTGAAGTTTATAACATGTTTTTGTAATTTTCACTGGTAAACTAAACGTGTAAGGACCGTTGATTAAGATATGAAACACCCCAAAGAATATCTGTTACACACTGACACATTCACATGTTACTGTAGTATTCAACATTTCCCTCTTATTTAAATATTTTTTAGTAAAAGGCAAAATTCTAGATCGCTTGTGCTCGTCACATTTATCACGCTTGATTACTATTTTTTATGAGTTCATTAATATTCAGAAGGTTGAAAAAGTCTTGTTGAGTTTATCCATACGTCATGGATGATTCAGTGCATTGGTTGTTAGATTAGAAACCTCTTCTCTACTTTGAAAATTATAAGCAGGCATGGTTATATATATTATATAAGTAAGGTTACAACCCTCAGAAACAAAGAAGAACAAGAGCGTTCTTTAGATCGCATAGATCAACCAATGGATCATATCAAAGAGCCTCCTGGTGAAGAATCTTAAAACCACTAAATTATTTCGCAGATCTGCTACCTAATCTTTATTATGATGATGTTGATTATATTTGTGTTTTTTTCTATTTAAGGTGGATGGGAAAATATGTGGGTAGAGGGACGAACATTGTGGGATTTAGGAGAAGCAACTCCTATTGTTGTTCACCTCTGTGAAACAGGTTCTTTGCCTAGTGGAAGAGCTTTGGTTCCTGGATGTGGAACCGTAAGTCGTTTTCATATATATATCTAGCTTCTCCTTTTGTCATATGACTTAAGATTATGTTTTGTAAGATCTTTCCACTGTCTAAAATGTGTTTTTGGACAGGGATATGATGTGGTTGTGATGGCAAACCCTGAACGTCATGTTGTTGGACTTGATCTTTCAAAAACCTCAGTTGAAAGATCAACAAAAGTGAGGATATATATATGCATATAAACTGGATTTTTATTTCTCGTTTGAATGTTTGAAAGTATATGTTTAAATCTCAAATTAATGCAGATGTTCTCTTCATTGCCTAATTCAAAACATTTCACCTTCTTAAAAGAAGATTTCTTCACTTGGGAGCCAACCGAAAAATTCGATCTTATTTTCGACTACAAGTATACTTCTTAATCCCTTTCTGTTAGCTTAAAATGTTTTTGGTCTCTACGTTCACATGAAGAGGAACAAACTCCACCTGATATGTCTACAATTATGATAATTCTCGCAGTTTCTTCTGTGCTTTTGAACCTAAAGTTCGACCTTTATGGGCAAAGCGTATGCAAGAGCTTCTGAACCCTGGTGGAGAGCTTATAACATTGATGTTTCCTGTAAGATAAAATCATAAAACATTTTCGATACAATATGTATATTGTGTTTTTTTTTTTGAAATGTTTGTTTACCTAACTATGTTATGCAGATAAGTGATAGAACACCTGGTCCACCTCCTTACTTAGTATCAGTCTCAGCGTAATTAATCTTCATCCTCTTCTCCTAATTAAACCTTTCATAACTCTGAAATTTCCTTTAGTGACTCTATATGGTTACAGAATTAAGCTACTTTAATGTTTTGTTTGTTTGTAGCTATGAGGAACTTTTGATTCCCTTAGGGTTTGAGGTAATCTCTATAGTTGATAACGAACTTGCTCCAGATACACGCAAGGTAAATACAATTCTACTTCATCACTTTAATTAATTTCGTTGTGAAACAAGAGAGATGAGAAAATGGTTTTAAAATTGATAATAATTTTCAGGGAATGGAAAAACTTGGCAGATGGAAAAAGAAGAAGAATTCAGTGTGATGACTCCTCATTGCCGTCGCATTCTGATGGCTCTATCTATAAGTCAATAAAAGATTTACACTTCTTTTAGTTTCCTAGTCAGAACCGAATGTACTATTTACACGTTTAAAAATAAAGAGTCTTTGACCGTCTTATATGAATTTTGTAATGAGTAAACGTGTTGTTTTTACTTTTTAGCGAGAACCAGTGTCGAATTTCTCATGCATGATTTTCTACGTTGTCAAATCTGATCAAATTTTCATTTGATACAATCGTTAAGTTCGAATACTTTTATTGTCTCTACCAGTAAAATTTTCTTCTTATTCTTCTTCTTAATTCACGTGTAAATTGTTTTCTTGGTTGAGGTTTCGTCCGGCCCTAGTGGCTTCTAGTTCGACTTTGATGCTATGTTTTTTTGGGTTCGTGATGCAACTATGTTTCTTCTGTTTTCGAAGGTTGTTATATTTACTTTCCAAATGATTGTTTTGCTAAATTGTAATGGTTCATCTCCATAAAACTGAATTATTACCACTTATTATATTTCTTCTTGGGCTTTCTCCTTTTTTACCATGATTGGTTGTAAGTTGAAAAATAATGAAAACAATAATAAAAAAAAAACAAAATATTATTAAAATTGTACATTTATTAAAAGATAAAAAAAAATTATACCATATAAAATAACTAATATTTCCGTTCAGAGACTTTTTACGTCTGAAGATTATTATTCATTTATTTCCCACAAATAATTAACTAAATAATTCAAATGAGATTGAATATTTCGTTGCTTAAAATTATCTTACTCTGTTTATCATGTTATATTTCCATTTCTGAAAGTGGGAATTTGTTTCCAATTTTAGTTAGCACATAAAATCATGTTTGTCCTTTAAGTTTTTAATATGATTTCATATTAAATTATATAATTTCGTTTTTTTTGTCAACCATATAGTTTTTGTTTAGGTATAAATTAAAAACATACCAAGTTGAGAGATATTAATAGAGAGAGTAATTCCAAAAGTGGAGATGGTTTCCATATATAGAATTTCAAGTAGGGTCAATTTGAGATGCCATACTTCTTCTAGAGTAAATGGAATGGCATATACAGTAATTTCTTCTGATTTTAAGGCTATTATACAACTTTCCTAGCTATTAGTAGAAGGTGGAGAGTCGTCATTTAAGCCAGAAAAATATAGTATGCCAAAGTAGGCACACTGGTCTTTCTTTTTGAATTTGTTAGTGCGTTCTCTCTTATTTTCCAACGCATAGTCATTCTTTTATATAAACGGCAAGCGAATATTTCGGGCCAGCTCAATGGTATATTCCGAATGAGAACACACAAAAATAGGCAGAAAGCATAGAGGGTGAGAGCATAAGGGCATGTGGCGATATTTCGGGCCATTGTGGTCTAATGATAACTAATGGCTCTATACAAAATTAATTTTATTCAATGATTATATAACTTGTTTTTTTATGTTAAATTTATTTAATCATTTTGTTAACCTCTATATAAACACATATGATGTGCCTAAGCTTTCCACAACTAACAAAAATGGCTAAAGAGCAACAGACTTCAAGTTACAGCAGTGGTGGAAACATTATTCCTACTCCTGAAGAGGCTGCTACATTCCAGCCCCAAGTTGTTGCAGAGGGTGATCCATTCTTCCTTCAATATTATTTCTAAAATTCATTAACTAACGAAATGTTAGTTCTTAAGTTATTTGACAAATGAGTCACACTAACAAATATCATATGCTTATTATTTGAACTTGTGAATAGATATAAATCCATCAACTGTAAAACGTTACATTTAACTAAAAAGTAAATCTAGTGAGTTTATCCACCACCTCTTTAAAACGTTGCATTTAACTAAACAATATCAATTTATTGACTGTTTGTTATATTTAATTTAGCTGTATTTGTTTTAAACATAAATAATTTATCCAATATTATAATTTATCTGAAAAGTTTCTTATATGCTCAATATATATTTTTACAGTTTAGTTTCTTATGTCATTAAATCGAATACAACTAATTTAAATATAACAAACAATCTAAAAATTGATACTCGTAATTGTTAATTTGATATCTTAGTAATTTTGTTATATATGATTGATTATTCTCAACTAATATATCTTGATTGCTTAAGAAAATTTCTTGTATATATATATATATATACTAATTTTTATAAATTTATAAAATATTATATTTTGCCATAATTAATCTGTAAAAAGTTAAATGTAATATATGTAATCAATAGGTGGATGGGAAAAATGTTGGGAAGACGGGGTAACACCGTGGGATCAAGGAAGAGCCACACCTCTCATTCTCCATCTTCTCGACTCCTCCTCTCTCCCTCTTGGCCGTACTCTTGTCCCTGGCTGCGGTGGAGTTAGTATTCTTTTGATCTGGTTATATTTTAGGGTTTATAAATAGTTATCTAGTTTTGAAGATATCATACGATATTTTAAAATTTTGAAGATTGAATTTAGTTTGATATTGGTATGACATATATAGTATGGGATTCAAATTTCTTTTTATTAGGATTCAGGAGACAATATACCTTATTTTAACATTGTTAAAAAAATGATATAATTTTCCGTAAATCATTTTGTTTGATCTTTGGTTTCAGCTTTGTTTTTTTTTACATGTAACCAAAATTATTTCAACTTAGCGAAGATGAAGTTTTGTTTTTTTTGAATTCATCGACTTGATTAAGGTTGAATCTACATACTCTCTATTTACGTTATGTTTAGTCACTCTAATGAACAATTATATGTTTGTTCATCAAATCTGTGTATATATTGTTTTGTTAAATATGATGAATTGCGTAGGGGCACGATGTCGTTGCGATGGCAAACCCCGAACGTTTCGTTGTTGGACTAGATATATCTGAAAAGGCTCTCAAGAAAGCCAATGAGGTTATATATGCATGCTCACTTATGTTTTGATAATTAATCGCATGACTATCTTACGTTAATCTCTTAAAACTTAATCAACAATCACTTTATGTTGACTACATATAGACTTACGGCTCCGCACCGAATGCAAAGTACTTTGCCTTCGTGAAGGAAGATGTTTTCACTTGGCGTCCTGATGAACTATTCGACCTCATCTTCGATTACGTGTGAGTTAATTAGCCAAAAAATAACACTAAGTAATTAAAATCAATCTAACTAATATAATATAACAGATTCTTCTGTGCCATTGAACCGGAGCTGAGATCTGCATGGGCTAAATCTATGTATGAACTCTTGAAACCAGACGGCGAACTCATAACTCTCATGTATCCGGTAATTATTTTTCAATTACTTTTACGTGTGATTTAGCCATTATTAAAAAGATATAATCATACAACATATGAATTATTTATTTATTTTTGCCTCTTTTTGATATATTAGATTACCGATCATGTTGGTGGAGCTCCATACAAAGTATCTGTCTCTGCGTACGTGTCTCCGTGACCCTTTAGTTAGTCTTACATACATAATTATATTTATGATTACTCGCTAATTAGCTAAAGTGATAATTGTGCGTGTGTGTTTTGAGGTTTAGCTACGAAGATGTGTTGGTGCCCTTAGGATTTAAGGCAGTATCCATCGAGGAGAACCCAGACTCCATTCCCACTCGTAAGGTATCAAAAAATACATTCAGATTATGTGAGATTACATATATAACAAAGTTAATGTTATATTATAGTCGTTTATATACACATGCATATGATTTATAACGAAAATTGTTTTATTCCGTGATGTTGTATATAATTATAAATTAATTAGTTGCAGTTAAATCACATAACTGATTATTCTTCCGATCTATATGATGTATTAAACAGGGCAAAGAGAAGCTTGCGAGGTGGAAGAAGATCAACTGATCCAAGAGAGATCAGATCTTACTCTTTAGTAAGAATGTTATATATGTATGTAATCTACCTTTCTGTTAAAAATAAAGTGAGTATCTATAACTCAGTGTAAAATATGTATGTGTGAATGTGATGATTATGGTGGCGGCCAACGTCTATGTAACGACGGTCGCCGCCGATCTCTCTCCCCTTGTTGATGTATCCTATGTTGGTCACTGCCATCTGGTGCTTTTTTATGATGTGTGTTTCAATTTAATAAAGTTTCTCCTTTCAGATCAGAGGTTTATATTCTCTTGATTTGTGTGGAGTTTTGTAGAAACGTACTTTTGGTATAATGGTTTAAGGATTCATTAATATTTCTAAATCATAAGGTTTGTCAAGTGTGGATTCCAGAAGACGACTCACAGATGGTACAGTTAATATTTTTGTAATTTGTAATAACATAGTTATTCAGCACTAATCAATTAGGATGGACTAATCTCTTTTAGAGTACAATTATCGCTACAGTAAAAGAGAGAGTACTTAAAAACAATTTTGTTTTTTCTTTTATTTTTTTCGGAATAAAAAAAAATAGAAAAATGATCAATCGCGGGCCGCCACATGTCGTGGAATCCGCAGATTAAACCAAGTAACAAGCAAAATCGGCGCTTATGGAAGCATCAGAAGCACTAGCGCTTCAAAATTGTGTGGGCTCCACGACTTAATTTATTAATTTTTTTCTAAGCTTCCTTCCTTAAGCTCCCCCGATAATTGTGCTTTTAGGCTTAAAGTAACTAATTAATTAATTGCAATATTGAATACACAAATCTTAAGTGAATGCTGGATACAACTCCCAAAGAGTAACAATCTCAGCTTCTAACACATGAGAAACCAGAAATTCATATTAATATTTTTTACCAAGCTAAAAATTAAACTTTCACAAATACATAATATCTAGACAGAGACAAAACAACTCGATCATGGACGCAAACAATACTCTTGCGCCTACGACGGTGTAATGTCATCGAGAAACATTTTGTTGCATACCCTTTGATATCATCAAATCAAAGACAACCTTGTGGCGTCACCACACCAGCCTTAACTCCTTTAATATTTTTACATTGTGAAGTAGCGGACCGACCGTTGAACGTTAGCTTAATATCGTGCAATCTAATCGCTTGGCACGGATTACTGCGACTACAATCAAACTTTAAAGCTTGTTGCGTTCGTGATGTCCCTTGAATATTCCTATACACAACCTGACTAATCTTCACCCCTGAACCCTACAATAATATAACGAACAAAACCCATCAGATTAATTCAATATTATTTCCTTTTGTATAGCTAGGTCTAGGATTAATAACTATTTTACCTGCTTAGGACATCCTTGATGATTCGGACAATAGTTCTGATCAACAATGATCGGATTCTGAACGTTTTTCATGATCAGATTCTGAAACAAAACGTTCCTCACAAAACCTGTGCTTTGTCTAGCCCATGACTTGATCCGAACACCATTATCCGAACCCGAAAAAACAGAGTTTACCAACGTTATATTCTGTACTCCAGCTTCCTTAGCATCTCTCCCTAGACTCCCAATACTGCCACAATATAATAACATCAAATATCAGTATCTTAAAAATATTTAAACCTTGCTCTCCACGTTATCTTTAATTGCCATACCTGATTCCGTGGCCTGGGCCGCAGTTAAGTTTAGACATGTAGAGGTTACGAGTTCCTGGACCAATAGAGATACAGTCGTCTCCTGTCTGAAACGTGCTATCGGTTACGGTCACACCAGCAGAATTTTGGACGTGGAGGCCATCTGTGTTGGGACTTTGATCTGGAGCCACTAGCTTTACTTTCCGGACTACCACATTGTTGCAGCTGTTTATCACTAAATGTGTTACTTGACTGTTTATTGACGTTAAGCCGGTCACTACGACGTTGTTTGCCCAGTTGAACGTCATCGACTGCAACAACATTACCAACCACCAAATATTAGAATTGTTCTTTGACCTTTTTGATATTATTAGTGTATTTATTAATCGAATATAAGCAATGTCATACATAAAATATAAAATTAACGTAGTGAAAACCTTTTTAAATTCATTTTCACTCCAAGAACTTGACTTTTATTTATTTGTTTTTAATTAATATGCATTAAAAAGTTAGTTAAATATCGGTTATCTTACTCTGGCTCCAGCAGGACAACTCTTTCCAGATTTTCTACAAGCCCAAAAGGAAGCACCTCTAGCATCTAATTTTCCTCCATTGATTGTGATCCGGTTTACTTTCACGAACAAGATCCAATAACCGGAATTACCCAAACCACGGTAATCTGAAGGAGCTACAATCGTTCCATAGATCTGAAACGTGATACTACTACGGCAAGGACCACGAAACTCCACCGGTTTTAGCAAGAAGCTCCCCTTTGGGACCGTTACAATGACACTTGCAGCTGAACGGCAAGCCGCTTGCCACGCACTGAGGAATGCTTTTGTGGAATCGGTTCGACCGTCCGGTTTAGCACCAAACTTGACTACATTATAGTTGTAAGCAGCCATTGATGTTCTCATAAGCAAGATACTTGAGAAGAACATCAGCAAAACGGCTACAAGCTTGTTATTAGTATGATCCATTTAATGTTTCTTACAAAGAGGAAGAGTAATGAATCTTTGTATATGTCAGATTTGGAAGTATTTATGTTTTTGTGTTTTAGATAAAATGTGAGGATGAAGAAAAATGATACGGGTATGGCATGTATTTATATGTAATTGTGTATACATTTTTTTGTTTAAATATATGTATTTGTGTACGTTGACTTTAGTTTAATTATAACGCGCTAATGATTGTTTGATCATATGCTTGATTAAATTCCAAAAAAAAATGAATGAAATGTACGGTTCGCATAATCGCATGTGATGATGATAAGCAGTTGTGAATCCCTTAAGAAAATCTATAAACAAGAAAGCATGTGATCCATGTTCACTTGTATGTCGAGAATGTGATGTACTATTATTCGGATTTTTTTTAATGTGAAAGTTATTTTGGTTTATTTGATGTCTAAAATATTATTGTTGCAAAATAAATGATATTTTCACTATTTTACATAAATTTAATGTTGTTTGAAACTTATGATTACATTTATTGGTTGAATTAGTTGATAAATTATATAAAACATAGTTTTTTAATATGTACAATAATCTTAACTATCAGCAAAATAAAACAGAAAAGAGTATTAACTATTAAGCAATTGGTAGTTTGCAAAAGAAACAAATAAAAATTATGCAAGTGTCAGATGACTTTTCTGTTGGTCTTTGGTTTTGAATTAAATTTAATATAGTCTTTTCTCTAAGGATTGATTAAAACCGAAGACGAGAAACTAATTGATCAGGTTTCATGTATAGCATAATCTATGGCATGTGACATGTGGAGTGTGGAAATTTCATAATCAAATCGCAGCCGTAGAAGAAGAAAAGCTTCCGAATCCTACGGCCATGAGTAGCATAAGTCAACAAAAACTCTTGGAAAAATGATGGATTAGTAAAAGTCAACCAATCCTAACTTACCACGTCATAAGAAACAGGTAACATGGCGACATGTAATGTAATATAGATATGTCATTTGAAAATTAACATATACTTAGATTAATAATTCTCACATGGGTTTACGTGAAGGATGGATGAATGGACCGTACCGTTATCAATGACGTTTAGTCTAAATTCTTTGTATGGTCATATTCTGCAACTGTCCTTAGAATATATCGTTATCTTGTTATTGATTTGAATCTTCGAACATGTTGGCTTGAGACCAAAGGTATTGTCAAAACCTTTACAAAGAACATAGCAAGCTTATAGGTTTCTTTGGTTTCTTGCTTCAGAAAGAGTTATAAGTTGAAGATATTGTTTCTTCATATATTCTTTTCAAATCATAACAGAACTGGTAAAAGCATCATTGTGTGAAAATGATAAGCCAACAATCAAACTGACTGCTTTTAATTTTTATTTCAATTCAGACCAAAGACTTCATCACATTCAAATTTGGATGAGTCTGAAAAGTAAAAAAACATCAAAACCAAACAAGAACCATTTTATAACACATCAATCAAACTTCACATACAATTCATTGGAGCCACAACTCCAGAGGCTCGTCCATGAGCGTTCTTGCAGTAAGAAATTGTTGATCCTTGCACGTAAGTGAGATTAATGTTTCTTAATGTAAGCCCTGTGCAATGATTGCTTCCACTACAATCTAGTTTCATAGCTATTGGTGTTGTTGATGTTCCTTTTATGTTTGCAAAAGTCACTCCACTTATCTTCACACCAGAGCTCTATATGCTCAATCATAACAAGTTTCCATTAAAATGAAATATTATAAAAGTACATATAAGAGACCTTACAACTCAGTTCAGTTATTTACCTGATTAGGGCAGCCTTTTCCACTAGGGCAATAGTTTTGATCGATGATCAGCGGGTTCTCAACATTCCTCATAACCAAGTTTCGAAACTCAACATCTCTCACAAACCCTTGGCTCGGCCTAGCCCAACTCTTTATTCTTACACCGTTACGCGTCTTGGTGAAAACAGAGCTCGTGACGGTTACATTCTTGACACCTTCCTCGTTAGCGTGATCCCCAAGACTCCCAATGCTGCATACAATTTACAAAGCGAAACCCATGTTAACTTGTGAGTTGTTGATCTGACTACTAACTCATTAAAAAGATAGTTACCTGATTCCATGTCCGGGTCCACACTGCACACGTTCTATCCAAATGTTCACAGATCCTTGATTAAGAGCAATGCAGTCATCGCCAGTTCTAATGACTCCCCCACTAACGGTGACCCCAGTAGAAGACTGGACGATGATACCATCAGTATTAGGGCTTCCACTTGGAGCCCTAATTCTTATGTTTTGAATCCGAACATTAGAAGAATGATGAACCGTGACGTGAATATTCTGGCTATTTAACGACGTTAGGCCGCTTAGTAGAACATCATTGCACCAGCTAAACGATATAGACTGCAAAAAAAAAAAACATACTGAAAATTTAATACATATATATATATATATATGTAAAATAAAAATAATGTAGCTTGCTAACGAATGAATTTAAAATTGGAAGTTGTTTAAACATACTCTTGCACCTTGAGGACAATGGCCACCTTTCTTTCTACAAGACCAAAAACCAGCTCCTCTAGCATCAATAGTTCCACCGTAAACCAAGATCCGGTTTACCTTGGCAAATAGGATCCAATACTCGGAAGTAGCTATACTCCAGTAATTTTCCGGAGCCACGAGTTTTCCATCGATCTTGAAAGTTATAACGTTCTTGCAAGGACCCCAAAAGACAAGATTACGTACCACGTATGTTCCACGGGGGATGTAGACCATGGCTCGAGCCTCTGAGCCGCATGCTAATGACCAAGCCGTCAAAAATGGTTGGGTTGAGTCTGTTTTCCCATCACCTCTAGCTCCGTATGTTTGTACGTTAAACGACGGCATTGCGTTTGATGAGTTGATAAGAAAGATAACGATAGAGAATAATATGATAACACAAGGAAATGAAATGTTATTGGCCATCTTCACTTTTTCTTTTAATTTTATGGTTTTTCTGATTATAATGATTAAAACACTATTAGAATGGTCACATATATATACATGGAGAAGATAACCTTCTGTATTTGTCTATTAGATCAGTACGTGTATTTAGGACTAATAGACCTAAAATGTTACGTGATTGATTCAATGTTATTAATGATAAAATGTATTACGGCTTTTGTGTGTACGAATGACTATCGCATATAACTATATATAGAAAACGAATATACTGTCAACTTTACTAATATGCAGTGGTTAATGGAGTAAGTTTCCTTTTCAAATTAAATCACTGACTCAGAAAATATAATTTTGTTTTATATATGGAAAGTACATAATTTTGATCATTGTCTTTCACTGACTTTATGCCGTGCTCAGAGACAGCTATATAAATTCAATTTGTAAGGGTTTTTTTTTTCAAAATATATAATCAAATTTGGTTGATAACGTTATAGTTAATAGGTTATAAAACATCAATATTAATAAGTGAGATAAATATCTCAGATGACCAAATTTGATTATGACTATAACGTTATCAGCCAAATTTGTGAGTGTGCTAGTTTCACTCAGACGACCAAAAAATGTATTCCAGATGAAAATAAGGTTGTAGTACGTAGTTTCATTTGATGATTTATTATTTATGGTATAAAAGCTATACGTAGACTGTTACATCTTGAATATCAAATCAGAGTAAAGAATAAGGAAAAGGTAGAACAAAACATATTCGTATATATGAGCCTTATGGTATGGAAATTGCATGTGACATGTGTGTAATGGAAGGGAGGAGATCCGATCTTTGCCGTTAAAACGAAAGTTATTTGTATTATTTTTTTCATATAGTACAGAAGTTGAATCTAGACTAATTTTGTAATGCCATTCTATTTGTCTATATTTAAAAAGGTCACTTGGATCTTGTCAGATCGAACTTTCCTTTGTCCAAAATAATAAATCTGAAATAGTTTGACTAACTTATATTTTAAAATTTTGATTTCACATTTAATTCAGATAAATATAATTTGAAACAGAAATGGTACAACACAATATGATATATAAGCCAATATAATCAAATTGATTGCTTCTCTTTATTTCCACTCACACCAAAGAATTCACCACATTTAACTTTGGATGAATCCAGAGCTGCTATGACGTAAAATAAATCATACAAACATCACTTTATCACATATCTACATCCAACAATTACTCCTATAGGGTTCATAATATATAATCCCAATGATGGAAATCTTGGATTTCTGATATCACATACAATTCCTCGGAATCATAACTCCAGAGGCTCGTCCATGAGCATTCTTGCAATAAGAAGCTGATGACCTTCTCATGTACTTTAGGTTAATGTTTTTCAATGTAATCCCTGTGCAATGATTGCTTCCACTACACTCCAGTCTCATAGCTATTGGCGTTATTGATGTTCCTTTTATGTTTGAATAAGTCACTCCACTTATCTTCACACCAGAGCTCTATATGATCAAATCATAAGATTCATAACAAGTTAATAATATTTTATAATAGATTTGAGCTACGCCAAATTGATTATGCTATTCACCTGGTTAGGGCAGCCTTTTCCATTTGGGCAATAGTTTTGATCGATAATCACTGGATTCTGGACATTCTTCATTATTAAGTTTCGAAAAGAAACATTCTTAACAAACCCATTGCTCGGCCTAGCCCAACTCTTTATTCTGACTCCGTTTTGCGTCCTGGTGAAGGTAGAGCTCGTGACCGTAACATTTTGCACACCTTCCTCGTTAGCGTATTCCCCAAGACTCCCAATGCTGCATCAAATTTACAAGTAATTAATGCCATGTTAAGCAGTGCCTTTATCAGTACCATATCATCATATAATATTAAATTGATTACTATAATTTTTTTTACCTGATTCCATGTCCCGGTCCACAATTCAAGCGTTCGATCCAAATGTTCTTAGATCCTTGATTAAGAGCAATGCAATCATCACCGGTTCCAATGACTCCCCCACTAATGGTGACTCCAGAAGAAGCCTGGACGATAATACCATCAGTATTAGGGCTTTCACTTGGAGCCCTAATTCTTATATTCTGAATCCGAACATTAGAAGAATGATGAATCGTGACGTGAATAGTCTGACTATACAACGATGTTAAGCCACTTAGTAGAACGTTATTGCACCAACTAAACGAGATAGACTGCAAAAAAAAAAAAAAAAAAACCATATTAAAAATGATTATATGTAACGAATAAATTGAAATTGGATATGGTTATAAAAATACCCTTGCACCCTGAGGACAATGACCACCTTTCTTTCTACAAGACCAATAACCAGCTCCTCTAGCATCAATGGTTCCACCAATAACTGAGATCCGGTTTACTTTTGCAAATAGGATCCAGTAACCAGAACTACCTATACTCCAGTAATTAGCCGGAGCAACGAGCTTTCCATCGATTTTGAAAGTTATAATGTTCTTGCAAGGACCCCAAAAGACTAGGTTTCTAACCAAGTATGTTCCACGGGGAATGTAGACCATGGCTCGAGCCTTTGAGCCACATGCTAATGACCAAGCTGTCAAGAATGGTTCGGTCGAGTCTGTTCTCCCATCACCTCTAGCTCCGTATCTCTGTACATTAAACGATAGCATTGCGTTTGATGAGTTGATTAGATAGAAGACAATGAAAAATATAATGGTGGTACAAGGAAAAGAGAGGTTATTGGCCATCTTTGATTTTTGTAGTTTTTTTAATTATGGCTTTGGGTGATTTATAATGACTTAGGAAGAAGTGATGAGAGAACTGTCTATATAGGGAGAAAATGTATTTTTATGTGTTTGACCGGACGATCCGTGAATTTATGACTAATCACGTTATATGCGTTGTATTAAGTATAGTATACTGATTCCATGTTACATGATAATATACTTAACTAATTATGGCTTTTGTGTGCACAACTTGTTATTGTACGAAATTATTAGTCTATGGGACGTACGTACTGACGTATGATATTATTTCAAAACAATATTATGTTCTCAATCTCCATGTGATCATTATATGGGTAGTTAGAGTAAATGACATTGCTATACTCACTTGATATTTGAGAAAAATGATTTTGATTTTATTTAGTAAGATGGAAAGGTGCACAGATTCTTTTGTTCATTTCATAAAATAGTTTCCAACATAATCGTTTTCAATAGTATCCTAAGCAATTTATACGATCCAGTCGCTCGGGCAAAGAATTTGCTGGAAAACTTGTCCAAAAAGTGCCAACCCAAAAAGTTCAAACATCACGCTGAAGTACAAGATAAAGATAGGATCTGAAATGATATGTACGGTTCACATGTGATGATAAGCAATGAGAACTCTTCGATTTTTAACAGAAAATTAGAACTATTTAAGGCTACTTTTAAGGGTAGGCGAATAAACAGCATGTGATATCCCACGTTCCGCTTTATAACGTACCGACTATTATCCAGCTACAGCTTTACTAGTCGGTTGCACAAAAAAAAAAAAAAGCTTACTACTACTAGTCGAGACATTTACTTTTTAAAGCTATTTGAAATACATTAAAATCCCAGATGCTAAATTATTTATTAGGAATTAAAACATAATTATTATATATAATTTATACTCTTCTGATAAATAATAAAATTAGAAAAAATAGCTCAAAAATATTAACCTTTTGAGTAATCACATCAGAGCGAAGACGAACATAAAAAGGTATATTCATATATGAGCCTTATATTATGGAAATGGCATGTGACATGTGGTAATCAAGGAGGAGATCCGATCTTGGCCGTCAAAAACAAATGTGTGGTTCTGTCAGTTAACGTAAAACGTCAAATAACCTAACAAATAACTCCTCAACCCATATATGAATTTTTTTTTTTTTGTGTGGTAAAAATCCATATATTAAATATCGACACATGATCATACCATAATCGCATGAACATTCGTTTGATTATATACTATTTCTAATAATTAAAACAAATTGAATCCAGAAGTATATATAGAGCATTATATTGCTACAATGAAAAAGATAGACGATTATAAGTTTTCTTTACAATGCCAACATTTTCAACCATGTTTATCATATATTTTAATAAAAGAAAATTTCACATGGATTGATCCATATAATATATCTGATAAATGGTTATTAATTGCTTTTATATCTCTTGTAAACATATGGTCAAATTTTGTTCCACAATTGTATTTCACATATATGTCAGATAGTAAAATTTCATGAATTTATTATTTGATAATAATATATATTTTTCCTTTTTTTGTTAGTTAGTTATTCTTGTGAATGAGATATTCATGAGCCTTGAGTAGGGCAAAAAAACGGCTATAGTTTTAATTTGTGGTGTCACGTTATAAATCTAGTCAATATCTCTTTTTCTCTATACTTTGTATCATATGATTCATATTACTTGCTTACTTGGATAAACGCAGGGATAACAACCTTTGCTTAAATGACGATGTCACTGCTTAAATCCTTAACTTGTTTCATAGAAATAAAAAAAAATTAAATCGAAGGCACATAAAAAAAGAATAGTGGTAAAAACATATATTTAGTTGAATAGTTTTTTTTTCTAACGGCAGTTGAATAGTTAAACTAAATTGATTCTTACTCTTTTTTCTTCTTTTTTTCGTAACACTAAATTGATTCTTACTCAACAAATCGATTTGACGTTACTGCAAGATCACATGGCTAAAGCCTATGTCTGTTGGACAATATGCCTACATATTATAATCTTGTGCGCAGAGCTCAACAATCAAATGGTCCACTAGAAGAAGTACCACGTTTTAAATCCTTTGTACGTTTAATGAATCTGCAAGTGATTGAGGGGTGTCGGCATCCAGAAGTTGGTATTAGGTTCAAAGATTTAGAAGACATAAGTTGCAAGTGTATTTGAGAACATTAT